TCTGTGGTCAATCTAATAGGAACGACTTTGTGAAAAGGACATACGAAATACTAAAATATGCACTGAGCCATGCTTCATCGTTTCAGTTAATTTGCGCAAGGGTATATATATATATATATATATATATATATATATATATATATATATATATATATATTTAGGATGTATTTTACCGCATTTTTTGCGGTGTTATGTAGCGAAACATTTAAGATGCCATAAAATCTTTATTTTTCATTACGAAAAAAGAAAACAACAGCAAAAACATAGTAAACCCACACCGAAAACCCTTTTATGATCCTCACGATCTCATGAAAAGAACTCATCATAAAATTCGTCATTTACAGTTCCATCATATGGGTTTCAGTCGCTCGTCTTAAACTACAGATATCAGATAAAATCACGATAATTTAATGTTGGGTCTCGTCTTATTTATAGGTCGCGTCAGACGTGGAAATATACGGTATTTTAAAAGTAAAAGGATGGGACCTAATTGCCAATCCAGTAGAATGTTTAAATTCATGCTGTTGAGGTACGGAAAGGAAGAGATCATTAGAAAAATTGTCATTAAAATATTATTTCATGGAATTCGTAGCCAAATTAAAAACAATGAAAATCGGGAAGGAACAATAGCAATGGTCCCAACCAACATAATAAATGCGAATATTAGTGTATCACATTTATTCAATTAAAGGGACACAAACTCTCTAACTTTCAATAGCTCACATTACAGAAATTTTGGATTCCCAAATTCTCATTGCTGCGATTATTTTCAGTCACTTTGTTACGTGATATTTTGAGATGAATTTTGTTATAACATTTTTTGTAACTTGGAAATAAATTTAGGGATGATTGAAATTAATTACGAAATCCAGTGAAATTCACCCATGAAATAAAAATAATTGTTTTTACAGAAAGTAAGGACCTACGTTCATTAAATTGTCTTTAAATTAAGTGGCGGCAGAAGAATTATCGTTGAACTTTTAAAAATTAAGCTTAAATATTAATGCAATTCTTAAATGCAGCGATCAGTTTTGAGTTCTTCTGTAGTTTATTGTTGCCTATCGCATATGGCAGCAGTATGCCTCGCAAAGAGAAATCTTCGCCAACAGAGGACCAAATTGTAATCAAAAGAGCCAAGGTTGCAGCGATGAAAAGAAAGTCCCGATCTAGAGAAATCCCAGATCAAATGGCAGACCGGAGAGCTTCCAATGATGAGAATATGCAAAGACTCTCAAACTCCTGAACAAGCTGAAAGCCCAATCAAGCGGCCTCTGCAGGAGCTAGCTTAAATATAGTGGTGACAGAAGATTTATCGTTGAACTTTTAAAAATTAAGCTTAAATATTAATGCAATGCTTAAATTCAGCGATCAATTTTGAGTTCATCTGTAGTTTATGTCGCATACAGAAGCAGTATACCTCGCAAAAAGAAATCTCTCCCAACAGAGGACCAGATTACAATCAAAAGACCCAAGACTGAAGCGAAGAAAAAGAATCCTTTTACCCATCCATAACAGAACGTATGCTAGATAAGGCCATCAACTTAGCTCAGGAACAAATAATAATAAAACCAAGCGAAATCAACATCATTAAGCACTCCCGTAAATCATTATTATTCCACAATGAAGAAGCATGGATAAAGAAAGATGGGATATTTGACACTACAATGGGAAGCTTTGACAGTGCAGAGGCATGCGAAATCATAGGCATTTACTTACTACACGAACTGAGCAAAATAATAGATAAAAATGACACAGGACTCTACAGGGACGACGGTCTCATAATCTTAATAAACTGTAACAAACAAAACACAGACAAAACTAGAAAAGCAATAATAAAGATTTTTAAAAATAACGGATTCGACATAGATATAAAAACTAACCTAAACGAAGTAGATTTCCTAGATGTTACCTTCAACCTAAGAGAAGGCACATATAAACCATACAGAAAACCTAATGATAAACCACGCTACATACACACATCTTCCAACCATCCGCCTTCTATAATCAAACAGATACCAAAATCGATTAACCGCAGGCTCTCCGACAATTCCTCCAATGACTCCCTATTTAACAAAGCTAAGAAAGACTATGAAACGGCCCTAAAAGATAGCGGATTCCCAGCAATACTCACATACTCACTACAGAATACAAAAAAGGCCAACAGGAGAAGAAATATCATATGGTTCAACCCACCGTACAGCAAGAGCGTAAAAACAAACGTAGGAAAAATATTCTTCAAACTCTTACACAAACACTTCCCAGAATCAAGCACCTTACACAAGATATTCAACAAAACACAAAAAAAATCAGCTACAGCTGCACCGAGAGCATGGCACAAATAATAAAAAAGCACAATAGGAAAATTATCAACAAACCACACGAACAAATTAAACCCACGTGCAACTGCAGAATAAAGAACAAATGCCCCTTAAACGGAAATTGTTTACAAAACAACGTAATATACCAAGCCACGATAAAATCACCAGATAATGAAGAAAAAGTATACATAGGAGTAACTGAAGGACCCTGGAAGCAAAGAAATTATACACACAAAACATCTTTCACAAATAGTAAATATGCGAACAGTACAATGCTTTCTAAGTATATCTGGGAAATTAAAAACAAAACGCACATCACACCAAAAATATCTTGGAGGATAAGGAAAAAGTCATCAGCCTACAACAACCAATCAAAAACTTGCAAACTTTGCTTGGAGGAAAAATAGCTATCATTACTTTCCCCGACCAAAATAACTTATTAAATAAAAGATCCGAGCTCATCTCAAAATGCAGGCATGAAAATAAATTTTTACTACGTAACCTAAAGAATGAAAAACGGAAAAAATAAAATAAAAACAAATAAGTACACTAATAAAAAATAGAAATAAAAAATAAATACTATGTTGCTTAAAACCGAAAACCGAAAAGAGAAAATATACAAGTAAAATAAATTGACCTAAATTCATCCAAGTAAATAAATAGACAAACCAATCCCAAATTAAAAACTGTTCCCGCCAAAATAATAGTTAGAATGAACTACAACAACCAACCCCAAAATTGAACAAATAGCTTTAATTAAATTCTCAAACCAAAACAAAACTGTTAAATAAGTGATATAAACAATTTTTTACTACGTTAATAAATAAATGAATAAATAAAATATATTTATATATATACGGGTTAGTGGTGCATTGTGGGTATTCTATTATGGCGGTTATTTTACCGGAAGACGCTTGTTTATTTATTTGGGTCAAATTATATTGCTCGTTTTTATTTTTGTTTCTTATTTTATTTACTGTTCGCATATTTACTATTTGTGAAAGATGTTTTGTGTGTATAATTTCTTTGCTTCCAGGGTCCTTCAGTTACTCCTATGTAAACTTTTTCTTCATTATCTGGTGATTTTATCGTGGCTTGGTATATTACGTTGTTTTGTAAACAATTTCCGTTTAAGGGACATTCGTTCTTTATTCTGCAGTTGCACGTGGGTTTAATTTGTTCGTGTGGTTTGTTGATAATTTTCCTATTGTGCTTTTTATTATTTGTGTCATGCTCTCGGTGCAGCTGTAGCGGATTTTTACTGTGGTTTTGTTGAATATCTTGTGTAAGGTGCTTGATTCTGGGAAGTGTTTGTGTAAGAGATTGAAGAATATTTTTCCTACGTTTGTTTTTACGTTCTTGCTGTACGGTGGGTTGAACCATACGATATTTCTTCTCCTGTTGGCCTTTTTTGCATTCTGTGGTGAGTATGTGAGTATTGCAGGGAATCCGCTATCTTTTAGGGCCGTTTCATAGTCTTTCTTAGCTTTGTTAAATAGGGAGTCATTGGAGGAATTGTCGGAGAGCCTGCGGTTAATCGATTTTGGTATCTGTTTCATTATAGAAGGCGGATGGTTGGAAGATGTGTGTATGTAGAGTGGTTTATCGTTAGGTTTTCTGTATGGTTTATATGTGCCTTCTCTTAGGTTGAAGGTAACATCTAGGAAATCTACTTCGTTTAGGTTAGTTTTTATATCTATGTCGAATCCGTTATTTTTAAAAATCTTTATTATTGCTTTTCTAGTTTTGTCTGTGTTTTGTTTGTTACATTTTCTTAAGATTATGAGACCGTCGTCCCTGTAGAGTCCTGTGAATCCTCTCGTTTCATCTTCAAGCAAGATTTTAGGAATAAGCTATCTCTTGGTTTACGTGTGTTTTTAGGCATGGTCCGTTAAAGAATTCGTTATTGTGGGAGTGGCTAGACTATTTTCTTTCGTTAAGTGGTCAGAGAGTTATTAACTCTCTGATCACTTAACGAATGTTTCTGAAATCACAAGCTCTAGTAATTATGTCCACGCAAACATGTAGGTCTATATCTTTCGTTGTTTCCGAGATGAGGTAATGTAATTATTTACACTATTTACATTGTTCGGACTGTTGTCCTCATCTTTCAGAGAGTTGAGTTAAAGGGAGATAACTAGGTTACCCGGAAGAGGAGTGGCACGTGGAACTAGAACAGTCTACCACGGTGGACGAAATCAAGGGTTCAGTATGAAATTCCAGTTACCTGAAGACGGCCGAAGCGTACAACGGCCGAAACGCCGTGAATATAGCAACAAAAATGAGGAGAACAATCCGAAAAATGTAAATAGTGTAAATAATTTAGGCCTATATACACAAAAGCTGAGTGTCATCTACCATGGATTCCATTGCGAAAGAAGAATAATATATCATATTTTTATTATTTCCAAGCTCCCAAGATAATTAAATGACCCATAAGGAGTTGATATGCCGTTAAACACAGAAATGTATGAATCAATCAAAACAGAATAATGTCAAGATGATTTCTTGTAACTGGATAATGCTTTTCATGGCTAAATTGAAGTGTTGCATGGAATATATTTCACCCTTAGAAAATTATCTAGACATACCATAAATACTTACTTTATCCTGATTGAGAGCAAATTAATATTTTCGCTATTTTAAAATGCCTGAACCATAATAAATTAGTTTATACCTAAG